GTTTCCGGTGATTTAGGTATAAATAAGGGAGCACAAAAAATTTACATTAGTTCCTTCAGCGACTCTCGTGCGGTGTGTTAATATTAAAGAAAAGTGAAATGATCGGTCGTGTGCAAGGAGGCAAGGTCTGGAAAAGGTGCCATGTCAATGCAAAGCGCTGCGAGATAATATCCAGGGCATAACGAATCCAGCCATCCTTGGGTCGTTTGGCCTGTCGGCAAGTGAAGCGTACTTGTTGGTCCCATTTTACGGGTAGAAACATGTGGCGTTCTGAAGGTGTTCTTGGAGACCCAAACATCCGAGATGCCGTCATTTCCACACCGAACACGCCAAGAGGGAAAAACTGTCGCAGCCATGATGCTGTGTACGCCCCGGAAGAGGCAAGGCCGCACACCGGGTATCGGCTTCGGCGGTTAAAAAATTAGCAAAGACTTGTGCTTCTCCATTCAGCAAACGTATTGTCCTTTCAGGACTACCAATTCCATTTTCCAATAGATACAAATTTTCAAAAAGATTTTACTTCGTTTCTTTGGCGTCTTCTGGGAACTATGAATGTAGATAGTTATTATACGAGAGTATTAGAATAAATAATTTATGCCGACCGTTTGGTCGCGTAATTCAAGTAGAAAAATTTCTTTTATATATCGTGCTCGCTCTCAACAATATATTTTGTACAGACTGTACTGTACGCCATTCAGACACCGGCTAAATGTATTAAGACAACAAAATTTTTTTTCCAGTTTGTGTCTGACCGCGTACTGCCTGCAGCAGCTGTCTGTTAAACCCCAAAACACAAAAGGTTTTGCATTTCCGATCTTAGGTAATTACTTATATTATACATATTCGAAAATCTTCATAATTCTTTGGTAAAAATATGGTCGTCCTGAAAAGGACGGTTGGGTTTATGTTTCTATGTACAAGTATATAGCTGGCTTCACTTATTTAAACGTTTAAGCCTTCTTCTCGGTCTTCTTGGGCAACAGAACTGCCTGGATATTGGGCAATACACCACCCTGGGCAATGGTAACGCCAGAGAGCAGCTTGTTCAACTCCTCGTCGTTGCGAATGGCAAGCTGCAGATGACGCGGAATAATCCTAGTCTTCTTGTTGTCACGGGCAGCATTGCCAGCCAACTCGAGAACCTCAGCGGCGAGATATTCCATCACGGCAGCCAGGTAAACTGGAGCTCCGGCACCAACACGCTCGGCATAGTTGCCCTTTCGGAGCAGACGGTGAATACGGCCCACTGGGAACTGAAGACCGGCACGGTTAGAGCGGGACTTTGCCTTTCCCTTCACTTTGCCACCTTTTCCACGACCAGACATTTTGCGTTATTTATTTCACTTAATTCACTTTAGACACTAAAAACGAATGCTGCTCGCCGGTCGGTAGCCACATATTTATACTTTTTCGTCTGCCTTCTGCGTTCAGTTAGGGGTGGGTGCCTTAGACCTGAAAAGTTTGCTCGAAAAAAAGTATAAGGTCTGGAAAGGAAAAATTTGTATTTTATAAGTGAATTGTGTTTGTGAAATCATAAGTGAAGTGAAAATGCCGCCAAAAACTAGTGGAAAGGCAGCCAAGAAGGCTGGTAAGGCTCAGAAGAACATTACCAAGACCGATAAGAAGAAGAAGCGCAAGAGGAAGGAGAGCTACGCCATCTACATTTACAAGGTCCTGAAGCAGGTCCATCCCGATACCGGCATTTCGTCGAAGGCGATGAGCATTATGAACAGCTTTGTGAATGATATCTTCGAACGTATTGCTGCCGAAGCGTCTCGCCTGGCTCACTACAATAAGCGCTCTACCATCACCAGTCGGGAAATCCAAACGGCTGTTCGTCTGCTCCTACCCGGAGAGCTGGCCAAGCACGCCGTCAGTGAGGGAACCAAGGCTGTCACCAAGTACACCAGCTCTAAATAATTTCCTCAACGCGGATGCGGAGAAAGATCCAAAACGGCCCTTTTCAGGGCCACAATATATTATACCAAAGAAACAACATTTTCAATATACTATTTACCGTAACATTTTAAAATATGGATTTTATGATAACTTTATTTGTATTTTTTAATTGGTTTTATAAAATTTTTATTTTATAATCCAATAGGAATTTTAAAAGAGATCAGTCGATTAGGCGTCAAATAGGCAATAGTGTCTCGAACTTATAAAGAATAATACGCTTGGCTACGTAGCGATGTCGTCGCATAAATGTAATTTGATTGGTCTCGTGTTGCCACTGCCAGCTTTACAAATTAAACGGATTTCAATTGAAAGTTTTTTTTTCTCTAGTTAACAAAATTTGTAGCCCTGAAAAGGGCTTGTTTAAACTAATTTCAGATTTCGAAATCTAAAATCAAGATTGCGAGTGTGTACCAGGGTACTCTTTCACAATTTACTTCTTGGCAGCCGTAGTTTTTGCTTTTGGCTTCTTAGCGGTAGCAGGAGCAGTTGGTTTTTTCACAACTTTTTTGGGCTTAGCTGACGCCGCTGGTTTGGCTTTTTGGTGCTTTGACCGCCTTCGGCTTCGCTGCGGTCGATTTGGCCTTTGTTGCTGTTGTCGCTGGCTTTGCCTTAACAGCTCCAGTTTTCTTGGCATCCTTGGCCTTTGCCTTTTCGGTTTTCTTCTTTTCGGCAGTCTTTTTGGTGGCCACCGACTTCTTAGGTTTGGGCTTCTTCTCAGCACCTCCGGCGGTAGCTTTCTTGGCGGTGGCTCCAGTTTTCTTTGTAGCTATCTTTTTGCTTTTCACTTTCTTTTCAGCAGACGCAACCTTCGGCTTGGGATCCTTTTTGGCCGAGGCTGACAGTTTGAATGACCCGGATGCTCCCTTTCCCTTTGTTTGAATCAGCTTTCCATTGACCACGGCTGATTTCAAGTACTTCTTGATGAATGGAGCCAGCTTCTGTGCATCACATTTGTAGGTGGCAGTGATATATTTCTTAATGGCCAGAAGTGATGAGCCGCCACGTTCTTTTAAATTCTTGATGGAAGCGTCCACCATTTGTTGAGTTGGCGGATGCGATGGCGGTGCAGCAGCCTTCTTGGCCTTTGTAGTAGCGGATCCAGATGATTTTTTGGTGGACACCTTCTTTTCAACTGGCGCTGGTGGGGCAGCCACCGGAGAAGCGGACGTTGCAGCAGCAGAATCAGACATTTCTTTCACTTAAACACACTTTTTTGTTTAGAAAACGGCGCGCGCGATTGATACCGACCTCCTTCGCTCGGATGAGAATCGAGGAGGAGAGCACTTAAACTATGGGTCTGCCATCAGTCATATACGCCGTTGATGTTTGCTTGAAGTGCAAACTTATTTTATTATTTTTAATGATTAAAATCATTATTTCAAACTATGTTTTTATATTTATACATTCTTAAATAATTCATTAAGACTTTGGCCGTTACAACATGTTAATATTTGATTCGGTTGATTTTTTATTGCTATAGGAATTTGAACATTGACATTTGTAACTTGTACAATTTATATAAAAATATATTTTAAAATAAGAAATCTCAAACATTTTCTACAAGTTAATATTAAATATTAATATTTAAACCTTTTACTATGAGAATTAGAATAAATGTTATCAGTTATCTTTCATTTTGGTATTTTAAAGTTGCTTTCAAGTTGACTCTTGGCTACATAAAAAGTTGGCTTTCAGGTTATATTCGGCAATAGTTTTCGTACCGTAAAAAAATAAAAATATTTAAAAATTGTATATTTTTTTGCTAATTGCTTGCTTAAATTATCCATCTGCATTCGTTTATTAAAATTGTTAGTCATGTTTCGTTATAGTTTGTCCAAAATATGCTAATTTGTGTCCCATATGTAAGCAGCGATGAAGTCGCTCTGAAGTCTACATCAATAAAAAAATAGAAAATATGTATTTTTAATTATTTTTATTGATTAAATTAATAAATAATGAGTTTATAAACGCTGGTGATTTGTTTCGAGAATGGTTTTAACATTATTTCGATTTTTTAATGTTGGTTGAAAATGGTCATGTTTGTCCCATACAGCCTTCCCCCTTTCAAATATGCCAATATACTTTGTAGTCTTGTGGCATTTTTTTATAAACCAAATAGTAAAATTCAGAAATTTGTTTATTCCATCTTATTGTATTTTGACTTCTTGTCGAATATTAAAAACGGTCATAGTTGCACTGAAGCTAAAATTCATGAAAAATATGTGATAAACATTTTTGAATAATTGGTTTTATTTCATAAATAATGATTTTATCGATGTATCTCAATTATTTTTAAATGTTTTTAACATTTGTTCAACTTATTACTGGTGATTGAAAATCATTATCCCTGACCTACAAAACATTCTCTCGTATAATAGTGATTTATGTTCACTGTCCCCATCCTTGACCCGAATAATTTTTTAAAAATTAAAATTAAGTTAACAATATAACATTTTTAGAAGCCGGTAGAAGAAAAATTTATCTCATTGAATGTAATTTGTGGTCCTGAAAAGGACCGATTTTTACAAAAGATGGCGCATTGGCCGTAAGTTGAAGCAGTCATAGCTTAAGCGCGCTCTCCACGAATTCGCCGGGCCAACTGGATGTCCTTCGGCATGATGGTGACACGCTTGGCATGAATGGCACACAAGTTGGTATCTTCAAAGAGGCCCACCAGATAGGCTTCGCTAGCTTCTTGCAGGGCCATCACAGCCGAGCTCTGGAATCGCAAGTCAGTCTTGAAATCCTGAGCAATTTCACGAACGAGGCGCTGGAAAGGCAGTTTGCGGATCAGCAGCTCGGTACTCTTCTGGTAGCGACGGATCTCACGCAGGGCCACGGTTCCGGGGCGATAGCGATGAGGCTTCTTCACGCCTCCGGTAGCTGGGGCGCTCTTGCGAGCAGCCTTGGTAGCCAGTTGTTTGCGTGGCGCTTTGCCACCAGTAGACTTGCGAGCGGTTTGCTTGGTACGAGCCATCGTCAATTTTATTTCTTGCTGCTGCACACTGTTCACTTCACGTTTAAAAACACAATAACCGACTGTCGATTCGGCTACCTACTTATATAGGAAAACGGCAGGGTTAAAAAGAGAGGGAAGCAGAGGCATCTCATTTGCCGACAGAAAAACGAGACGGAGATATCGTTCGGACTCGCTCGTGTTTCCGGTGATTTAGGTATAAATAAGGGAGCACAAAAAATTTTGGTATTAGTTCTTCAGTGACTTTCGTGCGGTGTGTTAATATTAAAGAAAAAGTGAAAAATGACTGGTCGTGGTAAAGGAGGCAAAGGTTTGGGAAAAGGTGGCGCCAAGCGTCATCGCAAAGTGCTGCGAGATAATATCCAGGGTATAACGAAGCCAGCTATCCGTCGTTTGGCTCGTCGTGGCGGGGTGAAGCGCATTTCTGGTCTCATTTACGAGGAAACACGTGGCGTTCTGAAGGTGTTCTTGGAGAACGTTATCCGAGATGCCGTCACTTACACCGAACACGCCAAGAGGAAAACTGTCACAGCCATGGATGTTGTGTACGCCCTGAAGAGGCAAGGCCGCACACTGTACGGCTTCGGCGGTTAAAAAAAATTAGTACGACTTGTACTTCATTCAGCAATCGGTCCTTTTCAGGACCACCAATTCATTTTCCAATAGATACAAATTTTCAAAAAGATTTTACTTCGTTTCTTTGGCGTCTTCTGGGAACTATGAATGTAGATAGTTATTATACGAGAGTATTAGAATAAATAATTTATGCCGACCGTTTGGTCGCGTAATTCAAGTAGAAAAATTTCTTTTATATATCGTGCTCGCTCTCAACAATATATTTTGTACAGACTGTACTGTACGCCATTCAGACACCGGCTAAATGTATTAAGACAACAAAATTTTTTTTCCAGTTTGTGTCTGACCGCGTACTGCCTGCAGCAGCTGTCTGTTAAACCCCAAAACACAAAAGGTTTTGCATTTCCGATCTTAGGTAATTACTTATATTATACATATTCGAAAATCTTCATAATTCTTTGGTAAAAATATGGTCGTCCTGAAAAGGACGGTTGGGTTTATGTTTCTATGTACAAGTATATAGCTGGCTTCACTTATTTAAACGTTTAAGCCTTCTTCTCGGTCTTCTTGGGCAACAGAACTGCCTGGATATTGGGCAATACACCACCCTGGGCAATGGTAACGCCAGAGAGCAGCTTGTTCAACTCCTCGTCGTTGCGAATGGCAAGCTGCAGATGACGCGGAATAATCCTAGTCTTCTTGTTGTCACGGGCAGCATTCCCCCCCCCCCCGGAACCCCCCCGGGGGGATATTCCATCACGGCAGCCAGGTAAACTGGAGCGCCGGCACCAACACGCTCGGCATAGTTGCCCTTTCGGAGCAGACGGTGAATACGGCCCACTGGGAACTGAAGACCGGCACGGTTAGAGCGGGACTTTGCCTTTCCCTTCACTTTGCCACCTTTTCCACGACCAGACATTTTGCGTTATTTATTTCACTTAATTCACTTTAGACACTAAAAACGAATGCTGCTCGTCAATTTCAATTTCAATTTTCAATTTTATTTATTGTCATAATTCAGAGGTTCAGAGTACATGGTAGTTCTATCCTAGTTGTAATACATGAGTGAGAAATTTCGTGATTACAGTTATTTAAAGGTTTAATATTTTAGCCTGGCGTTTACTGGGACTTCTCCTGGCATTAGAGTTTAAGGATATTTCGTTCATTTTGTACGTTTGTACATCGTTCGTCGTTAATCACATATTTAGTTTCTTTTGGTTGGATGTTCAGGAAAATGTTTCAATGAAAAAACCTGAGATCTTTATGATTTTCTTTTTTTTGTTGATTTATGAATAATACTAAGGCTTATCTTAATTCTAATTAAACTAAAGCTTAACTTAAGTCTATGGTATGGGGTGGTGTTATTTACAAGGTGGGTGGGTATATTTACAGGTGAGAAATAGGTTAATAATTGGTTTATTTGGTTTTTTAACGTTGGGTATTGAAGAGAAGGCTATCGTTTGGGTTGAGGGATCGGAACCTTCTGTTATAGAATATGACTTCTTTGTTTTGGTTATAGAGAATTCCAAGGCTTTCCAAGTGCCGTACGTTGTATGGTGTGGTTAGCTCTGTGGAGTGTATGTAAGGGATCTCATATTGTTCAATGTTATTTGTGGATATGAATTTTTCTAAGATTTTTAGATATTGCCTTTTGTATGGCGTATCCGGTGTGTTTTTTAAAGTTTAGTTTTTCATCATAAATAACACCCTGGTATTTCAAGGTATTTTTATTTTGTATTACCGTGTTGTTGTTTATATATAATTTTGGTGTAAAATTTTTTGCGCTTTTGTAGAGATTATAGCTTTTTGGTCCTTTGTAGATTGAACCTACTCATTTGTTGGCGTTTAGGTTCAGCTGCCACTTTTTGAAATATTCACAGAGCTTGTCTAAGTATTCGTTCATTTCTGTGTTGGCTCGGTGAGCGGATGCACCAGATCCCAGAAGAAGTATATCATCTGCGTATATGAGTATCTTTATACGGGTAGACAGGCTAGGATCTGGTGGTTCATACGAGGGCATATCTGCTAGATATATGTTGTATAGTATAGGCGCTAGAATAGACCCTTGTGGTACTCCTGCTGTTATATTTCTTATCAGTGAATTTTGTGTGTGATCTGGGTTTGTGACGCTGAACGTTCTGTCTGTAAGATAGCTCTGTATTAATTTGGTTAAATTGAGGTTAACACGATAAATGTTTTTCATTTTGTAAATTAATCCTTGAGTCCAGACAGTGTCGAATGCTTTTTCGAAATTTAGTGCACACGCTATGGTGGCACGTCTGCGATGAATGTTTTCAAAGATGAAAGCATTTGCAGACATTAGTGCATGGTTGAGCGACATTCCTTCCCGGAATCCATACTGTTCATCTTTTAGTATGTTGTGTGCTTGAGTATGCTTATTAATTTGTTTCATTATGACTTTTTCATACAACATGCTAATTGCTGATAGAATTGCTATGGGTCTATAACTGGTCAGGTGGGATGGGTTGGATCTTGGTTTTAAAATTGGTATTATTTTGCAGTGTTTCCAATACACAGGGAAGTATGAGCAGTTGGTACAATGGTTAAAAATTATGCTTAAGTGTCTTAGCAGGGGAAAGTTGAAGCATTTTAGATTAAAGTTGCTGGTGTTATCGTGACCCATACCTTTTTTATTGTTTTTGTATTTTAATATGTCTAAGAGTTCATCTGCGTTAGTGAATCCGAAATTTTCAAAACCTTCCCAATCACCGTCTGCTGTCTGGTGGTTATTGAATGTTATTAAGTTTTCTGTGGGCGTTGACATAAGTTCATTTACTGTGGCTTCAATTAAGGATTTATGATTTCTGTGTAGTATATTGTTAGTCATGTTTTCGTTTTGTTTATGTATTTGTTCAAAGGACCAGGCTAGAGCGTTAATTTTTCCAAAATCGGTGGTTAGTTCTGGGAAGGTTTTTCTGTCCACAGTTATGTCTATTGAGTTTTTTTCTATGTCGGTAAGGGTGAGGTTATGGTTGAGTTTTTGCTTTATGGGTACATTTGGATTAATGTTATCAATTGTTTTATAGCTGATTTTACTGGGGTTTATTGCTAGGAGCTTTTTTTTTGAGAGTCTTGTGTTGAATTCGATTTAGCTCTTTTTTTATTTTTGTGTTTAGTATAGTAATAGCATATTTGATAGTAACTTTTCCATCATTTGTAAGAGACGTGATTTTTTTAGGCAGTGTTCTTCTCAGAGTACGCTTATCTTTTAAAAGTTGTAGGCAGTGTTTGCTAAGTTCAATAGTAGTTTGGTTGGGTTTATTTGCTTTTATGACATATTTTGGAACCGCATCTGGGTCATCTATGGCTTTGTTAATGGCATCTGATAGGCACTGGATATGGGAGTCTATTTCTGATATGGTAATATTATTTTCATTGGGTATGCTTATTATGTTTTGTAGTATTGTATTGTTCCATAAAGGCGGGTTGATTTTTTTAAAGTTGTGAATTAATTTGTGTTCTTCGGTTATCAATTGGGCTTGTGCTACATTTATGTTTAATTGGATGCAGTAGTGGTCGGATGGGTAGTCTTTGATTACTTTACAATCGGAAAGTTGAGGTGGATAATGTAATGAGGTAGTTGTTGTGGTTATAAAAAAATTTATGGATGAATCAAGTTTATTGGGTCCATTAGGATGCGTTGGTTCTGATGATGCATGGATTATGAGTTCTATGTTTTGTTTTATCCAATTGTTTAGGGTTTTTCCGGCTTGGTTTATGTGTTTTGGGTTATAGAACGGTTTGTTCCATGATGGGTGTTTTGCGTTTAAGTCGCAACCGATAACGATTTCATTGTTATGTTGACCATTTTTTAGAAATTTTAGGATGTTATCAAGATCTTGTGCCTGAAGTGTGTGCTGAGGTCTTTTATAAAGGGAAGCAAAAATAATTTCTTTTTCATTGTTTTGTCCGTCTTTATGGGTTACTTTTATTGCGACAGCTTCTACGGAAATTAAGGGTTTTAGTGTTAGTTGGCTATATTTTAAACCGTTTTTAACGCATATAGCTACAGAGTTTCCAGGTTGGGTGGTAAATGTCTGGGTATTAGAATTTTGTCTTATGAGTTTATAATTTTTAAGAAGATCAGCGTTGTTAATTCTAAGTTTGTGTTCAGCAATCAGCATGATGTCAGGGCGGTGTTTATTAAGGAAAAGGTTTAGTTCGGTGCGCTTTCGTATCTGTCCGAGTCCGTTGACATTGAGAAACATAATTTTTAGAGGCATGGTTATTGAGCGATTTGAAGTATGAAGTCAAGAAGAATTTTCTTCTTTGTGTTCTGGTCTTGTTGTTGTGGATATTTATTTATGGTAGCACGCATAATGTCTATGCATTCGATAATTTCTTTTCCAAAAATTGCAAGTGTATCATTGTTAAGGTCCTCGAAGGTGATACTGGTGCAATTTTGTGTTTTGTTTGTATTGTGTTTTAGTACGTTATTCATGTGCTTTTTCAGAGCTGGGTTGGAGGTTTTAATTGTTGTTTCGTGCTCCTTTTCATGAGGTTTTTTAAATAGCGATGAGAAGCTTTGGCTTTGGTTTGGTTTGTATATAGCACTTTGTGGTATAGACTTTTGTAATATTCGGGTAACTTTTGTTTTTGGTTCGAATTTTCTTTGAGTTATTTTCTGCAACAATTCTGCTCTTTTGGGGCAGATTTTTGCGTTAGCTGTGTGTTCACCCTTGCAATTAACACATTGCGTTTTCATTGTTTGTTCATTATTTGATCCTTCTTCGGGTTTTTTTATTTTGCATTGCCCTGGGGCATGTGTGTTTATGCATTTAACACACCTGTAGGGCATGTTACAATTGCTAGCAACGTGTGAGAATCGCTGGCATCTTTTGCACTGCTTAATTGGGTTGGGATGGGGCTTGAAAGTTTCTATGTCAATTTTACAGTTAAGGAGGTATTTTATCTTAAAGATATTCTTAATTAGCTTTGATTTCTTAATCACTATGAGCCAGTGCTTGTTTTTGTATGGTTCGACGGAAGTGATTTCTAGCTCAGGTACAGACTCTTGAAGAGCGTTTTTTATATCGTTACAATCAAATGATGAGGGAGGTATTTTTTTTATAATTATATTATGGGGTTTAAGGTGCTTAGGAGTGTACGTAAAGAATAACATATTATTTTTTGTTAGTGTATTTTTGGTATGGATGAGATTATCCATAGTAAAAACTTTTATATGTATGACGTTTTTGTTTATGATATTTAGGTTAAATTTGCTGGTCATTATGGATCTTACTTTCTTAGCATTTTCGTTGTAAAGTACAATGATTGGAAGATTTTTGATCGTGTCACTGGAAGATGATCCGGTGGCTGTAGTTCCTGTTTTTGAGGTAGTTGTGTTGGTAGTTTTCTTTGGGGTCGATCCGGTGGTTGGCTTCGATGTCTTTGCCGGGCTTATTGGTTTTGGGCGCCTTACTGGTTCCAGTGTAGGGAACTCCAGGTCTTGATTGTTAGCCAGTTTTGAGTTGGTTGGAGGGGTTATCTTGTTCATTTGTCCTTCTGCTTTTGCAATTCGAAGCTCATCTTGGAGGTTTTTGATTAACTCCCTCTGAGTTTTAAGTTCTTCCATTAGTTGTTCAAGTGCCTCTTTTGAAATGCCGGCATCCGATGAAGGGGCTTCGTTATCTTCTTCTTCCTCCTCTTCTTCTTCTTCTCCATCGTCCGATTCGTAGGAATCTGATTCCTCAGTTGAAGAGTCGCATTCCTCTTCAGAGGAAGACTTGTGTTTGCGCTTGATGGATTCGTTTTCGAAATCCATGTTGTTCATTTCATTTATTTTCCAAAGCACGGGTTTTTTCTAGTTCGTATGCTGCTCTCGCAGCGTGCGACGTTGAAGGCTGTGCGTCATCAAGGAGTTGGTTTTTTGATGGCATTGCACTGGTGGTCGGTGGGTTTAGATTTGGCATGATTACTATTTTATAGGAATCAAGTCTTTGTTTTTTACATTTTTTACGTGTAGCAGCGTCGTTGATTTGGTTATTGGTATTGGGTACTACAAGTGTAGATTTTTTAGTGCAATTATTGATCTTTATTTGATCCACTTTGCTTGTTTATTTGTTTATTTGGGCAGCCACTATCTGTATTTCAGTTACTTTTCGTGTAACTTTTTGTTTCACAACACTGTGTGTGGTGTTCACTGTGTGTGTGTTCGGCACTGTGTTCGTGGTGGGCACTGTGTTTAGTTCACTTCAATCACTTGGCACCTTTTCCACGACCAGACATTTTGCGTTATTTATTTCACTTAATTCACTTTAGACACTAAAAACGAATGCTGCTCGCCGGTCGGTAGCCACATATTTATACTTTTTCGTCTGCCTTCTGCGTTCAGTTAGGGGTGGGTGCCTTAGACCTGAAAGGTTTGCTCGAAAAAAAGTATAAGGTCTGGAGAGGAAAAATTTTTATTTTGTTAGTTGTGAGGTAACCCTCACGCGGCCCCGCCGCCACCCACGTATAGAGAGCTAGGATTTAGGTTAATTTAAGGAATAGTTAAGACCTACGAAGGGCACTCAGATTTAAGTTAGTTTACACCCACGGAGGGCAATTAGACTTACGTTAGTTAAGATCCACAAAGGGCACTTGTACATATGATGACAACATCGCACCCGCAACACTACATCGCCCCGCAACACCACGCCCGCAACATCGCCCGCAACATCACCACGCCTTGGGCACATCGCGCTCACAGCGCAATCACAACCGGCAGAGCCAGCATCACAACCAGCAACATCACACCGGAAGAGCCAACCAACGCGCACGATCACACCACGTGACACCGGCGCAGTAAAGCTAGAGAGAAGAGGACGGCGACAGCTCGAACGAAGATAGCGAAAAGGGCGCTGCCGCGATCGACAGCAGTCGGTTTTGAGAGTCGAACGAGAAAAGTCGTAAATCACGGAAAAGGAGCAGCAGCTAGACGACCCCAGGAAAAACACGTGGCCAGGCGGACATGGAGTCCTCCACTGAGGAGTAAAACGGTTGAGCCGGCCAAGGGCCAATCCCAACCGTGGGATGCCAGCGGTGCGCGGGGGTAGGAGATATGTTTTAGAACTTAGGTAAGACTTTGTAAATAAAATGCCAGGAACATTACAAGAACCATTCGGCTCCCAATTATTCTCCCCAATCCCGGTCACTAGGAAAACGGGCGGAGAAGCGGTGATTAGGATCCTTACAGATGGCGCCCGAACAGGGACTACGCGGGATAATTTCACCCTTCATGGCGTAAAGAACCATTTAGGTCAAAATTCGAGGTTAGGGACGAAAGGATAGGGGAGTACGCACGTTTTGCAGCGGGGCGAAGCGGAGCAAGAGAGAGAGAGATAGAGGAAAGCGTAACCACGTAAGTCGCGGCCATCCGGGAATTGACCTCTCCAACGAACGTGAAGGAGCTTCGCCGATGTCTAGGTATAGCGTCTTGGTACCGGCGCTTCGTGCCGAACTTCGCGGGCGTGGTCGAGCCAAAGACCTCGCTCCTTAAAAAGGACCGGAAATGGGAATGGACGGAGAAGCAGGAGCAGGCGTTCCACCGGCAGAAGGATCTGGCCCCGGTGATTGCGTGCCCGGATTTTTAGGAGAAAGTCGTACTCCAGACGGACGCAAGTGACTATGGGGTTGGGGCCGTACTCACTCAGACCATAGATCAGCAGGAACGCGTAATCGCTTACGCTAGCCTCCGGCTAAATACCGCTGAACGCAACTACTCCGTAACGGAAAAGGAATGCCTTGCGATAGTGTGGGCCATCCGCAAGATGCGCTGCTACCTCGAAGGGTACCGTTTCGAGGTACTCACCGATCACCACTCGCTAAAGTGGTTGAACTCCATCGACAACCCCACGGGCAGGATCGCTCGGTGGGCATTGGATTTACAGCAGTTCCAATACGACGTGACCTACCGACGCGGAGTCGACATTACAACAGGCACAAGTACAAGACAGCGACTGTAAGTCGCCCAGAGGACGAGGAATATACCCCCTAGAAGCTATGCGTGGGTACTCACGACCGCGCAAAAGTGCTGACGGAACCCCCCACTGCTGGAAATCTGGGCGTGCGAGCACGCGAGTGGCCCAGAGGTACTACTGGCCAGGACTATTCCTAGAGGTAGCTAAATACGTGCGACGGTGCCCGAGCTGCCAAAAATTCAAGGTAAGCCAAGAAAAGCCGGCCGGGAAGATGTTCACGCGCCAGGTCGACGAACCTTTCCACGTGTTATGCACGGACTTCGTGGGACCACTTCCGTGTTCCAAGCAAGGGAACACTTTCCTACTGGTGTTCCTTGACGCGGTTCAGCAGAGGGTGGAACTTGTCCCCCTTCGAAGAGCCACCGTGCTGAGCCGTTCGGAGTCCCTCGGACTTTGGTCTGCGACAACGGGACCCAGTTCACCAGCAGAGACTTCCGGACATTTTGCAAGTCGCTGGGAATACAACTGCAGCATACCGCGCCTTACACGCCTCGCCAAAACCCTACGGAGAGGGTTGCACTGTGCTTGGGAGACGCACCGCAGAACACTTGGGATCAGCTTTTGCCGGAGATCTCACTCGCCGTGAACAGCAGTGTGTCGGACACAACGTGCTTCCCCTCCTTCCTGGTCCAAGGCCGTGAGCCACGGATACCAATCACGCTCTACGACGAAGTCACCCCGGGACGAGGAACACCCCTGATTTCCCCTGCGGAACGGAGTGAGCAGCTACACAACGTATTCAAAGTTGCCCGCGACAACGCCGAGCGTGCCACGGCCGAGCAGGGCAGGCACGACAACCTACAATGACGTGAGTGGAAACCAACACTAGGCTCGCTGGTTCTCACCCGCCGCCATGTACTGTCCAACGCAGCCAAGGGTTTCGCGGCCAAACTAGCCGCAAATTACGAGGGACCGTTCCGAGTGGTAAAGTTCCTCTCCCCTAACATAGTCAGGCTGCAAGATGCAGGAAGCCGCCGTCGCCGCACGGCAAGCATAAACCACCTCAAGCCCTACCATCAGGGCAGCGAGGATGACGACGACGACCACGACATGCCGGGGACACCAGAACCATCCGCATCCACACAGACCAGGAACCCAGAGCCACAGGGCATTTAGGAGAACAGGAGCTTAGAATACGCACTACATCTAGGCAGGCGACGTACCACAGGGAGTGGACGCTATTAACCCGCTTCCCACTCTCCTCAGGTCCCCATACAACGAAACACGGGAACCCATCACCGAGCGATCGCGTTCATCTCAGCAAAACGGTAAAGAAATTCAGTCTACAACAATGCCAGGAGAGCGGCACCGCCACCACAGAGAGACACAACGTCACCACCACCGGCACGGGCGTGACCGACATGTCGTCCGACACCACCCGGAAGAAAACGACGCCTCCGGTCCAACCGGGACAATGTCCGCCCGCGAGGAGCAACACATTGCACACATGGACACCACGGGCGCAGGACGCAACCCGGTCCCACGACCACGATCGGCCAACAGCGAGACACAATCTCCAACCATCAGTCCCGCGTGGTGCGGGGGACTCACGTTGGAAGAAACGATGGCCTCACACTTCGAGGCGGAAGGGGAGGGAGAGCTGGACGATTTTCAACTAGAGATCGAGTCGTTCCCACAGCATCAGCCGGAAGCCACTACGCCGAATCTCCGACACGGAAGTCCTGGAGCTGAGCTCGTGTGACGAATAGCAACGGGAGTGGACAGCTATCCTCATTTCAGACGAGGAGGAGAGCTGGCCGGAGAACAAAGTCCCACCGGGGACACCGGTTACGCGGGGACACCGGCTCGCCACCATCTTTTTTTTCTAGTTAACAAAATTTGTAGCCCTGAAAAGGGCTTGTTTGAACTAATTTCAGATTTCGAAATCTAAAATCAAGATTGCGAGTGTGTACCAGGGTACTCTTTCACAATTTACTTCTTGGCAGCCGTAGTTTTTGCTTTTGGCTTCTTAGCGGTAGCAGGAGCAGTTGGTTTTTTCACAACTTTTTTGGGCTTAGCTGACGCCGCTGGTTTGGCTTTTGGTGCTTTGACCGCCTTCGGCTTCGCTGCGGTCGATTTGGCCTTTGTTGCTGTTGTCGCTGGCTTTGCCTTAACAGCTCCAGTTTTCTTGGCATCCTTGGCCTTTGCCTTTTCGGTTTTCTTCTTTTCGGCAGTCTTTTTGGTGGCCACCGACTTCTTAGGTTTGGGCTTCTTCTCAGCACCTCCGGCGGTAGCTTTCTTGGCGGTGGCTCCAGTTTTCTTTGTAGCTATCTTTTTGCTTTTCACTTTCTTTTCAGCAGACGCAACCTTCGGCTTGGGATCCTTTTTGGCCGAGGCTGACAGTTTGAATGACCCGGATGCTCCCTTTCCCTTTGTTTGAATCAGCTTTCCATTGACCACGGCTGATTTCAAGTACTTCTTGATGAATGGAGCCAGCTTCTGTGCATCACATTTGTAGGTGGCAGTGATATATTTCTTAATGGCCAGAAGTGATGAGGAAGCGTCCACCATTTGTTGAGTTGGCGGATGCGATGGCGGTGCAGCAGCCTTCTTGGCCTTTGTAGTAGCGGATCCAGATGATTTTTTGGTGGACACCTTCTTTTCAACTGGCGCTGGTGGGGCAGCCACCGGAGAAGCGGACGTTGCAGCAGCAGAATCAGACATTTCTTTCACTTAAACACACTTTTTTGTTTAGAAAACGGCGCGCGCGATTGATACCGACCTCCTTCGCTCGGATGAGAATCGAGGAGGAGAGCACTTAAACTATGGGTCTGCCATCAGTCATATACGCCGTTGATGTTTG